TTAACGATTTTTGCCCTCTTAAGCGGTATTCTGGAGCCAGAAAAGCTAAGGCAGACGCCGCAAGCGACAGCCGCCTTCGCTCGCAAGCGCCCAAAACACACCTTGAAAACACTAAGGCATGAGAGGCAAGCGGCCACCTTTATAGCCGCAAGCGATAGCCTCTCCCGCTTGCAAGCGACAGTCCAGATACCCGCCGCTGCAGACTATCACCAGATTTCAACTAAGTACTTTAAATGCAGCGGTACAGCCATTCCAATTCCAGCTAGCTCAAGCGAGCCGTGCTACGCTGATGCCCTCCTGTTCTCCAGCAAGCGAGGAAGATCTGTGCCATCAACGCAAGCGAAGCGGACACCCTGGGAGTTATGGCCAGCAACCGCTTCAACAGAATAACCACCTGCAACCGCCTAACTGCCCAGCGGTTGGAACTGCCCAACAGCTTCTTGCAACCGTCTCGTTACACCTGCTATAAATAGGGCCAGATATCTGTATGTAAAGAGAATCGAATTCTTGGACGATTTTCAGAATACACACAGCGTTCATTGTCTTCCTGTTTCCGAGAGCTCCAACCCTGTAAGGGAGTTCTCCACAGGAAAGGCCAAGGGAGTGGGCGTATTCCCCCTCCCTTGGCCACGTCTTTAATGCTTTCTTAGACTAGCTTACTGCTTTCATTTACAGCTTTGTAGTCTAATCCTTTTCGCAGTTTTCATAGTATATAAAGAAATATCATTCTCTTCTTCAATTTAAATCCTTCCACAATTTTCCATACTTATATAAATCAATTTAGAGAATTTCATATCACTGGTATAGAGCGAGAGACGAATTAATTAATTAAGCCTTGTGATGCGCCAAAAGCGGTCTCAAGGTAGTTCAACGTAGTTAAGTACGCGGGAGCCTTGTCGACCTACTTAATTAATGTGCTGAATTTGATTCTGATAAAAGAGTACCAACATCAGGGGGTAAAACCACTAATGAGGCAGAAATTGGGAAAATTAACGGGACATAGACGGGGGTCTATTAGGTCGCAGAAATTCCTAGTGACAGTAGGGTTTCTTTCTTATAATGTCTTAATTCTGGGTGTCATTGAAGTCTTGTTGTAAATCCCCCCCAGGCCAAAATACCAGTGTGATGAGTTCTTTATAATCGAGTTTATATAATTACAACATCTTTCTATCATCATTTTCGTAATATACATATATACTTCCGATAACACAATTATGTCACTCGCTCGCTGCATCCAGGGAATTCTACCCATTTCGTAACGCACAGTTCAGACACAACACCTCTTTTCCACTCTAATTCGCTCATATACATATACATATAATATGCCGCTCACTCACATCCCAATCCTATCGCTTTCGCTTCGCTCGCCCCCGTTCATCTTTTACTGCTTTATTTACCGCTTTCAGTAGTAGAAAATTTAGGCCCGCTCCAAGCGGACCCAAGCGGACCCCTTTTTGTCTCTTCGTCGCTTCTCCAAGATTTTTACCTTTGAAATTCATGACTTTAAATCCCTGTGTTCGACCTGGAAACTCACCAGTAAAAAGAGTATAAATAATTGTGATAACTATCCAGGGTCTACAACCACATAATTGCTATATCTGACCATTCTTCTATAAAAACTCTACTCATTGATTTTCGAATAAAATTCCCTGCGAATTAATATACAATAACAAATATATTTTTCGGTTATCAGGCGGCAAAGCCAAACCGAAGACCAAATCCCTTCGGATCAAAGAAGCCATCCAAAATTCAAGTTGGAAAAATGAATCAACCCGGGAAGAGAATCAAAGGATCCGAATAGAGAATAGGACCCGCATATATTTAAATTAAATGTAATTTGTACAATTTTGTGCTTATCAAAATATAACACAATTTTTTTGTCTACAAATTATTGGCACGCCCAGTGGGACAACTCTACCTTTCATCTCTCTTTCCATTGAATTCTCAACGATCAATGACTTCTTACAAGATCAAGACTTCCAACGCTGTGACGAAAGCTGTTGCTCTAGCTGCCGCTGCCAAAGGAGTCGCTGCTACTACATCAAGAACCTCAAGTGCTTTAACAAATGCTGGAGTGATGACACAAAAGCATGGCTAAAAGAGCATTGTCATTTTCCGAGGACGCACATCCGAAAATCACAGAGCCTTCAATCATTTTGAGAGAAGTCTTCAATTATTAAAGTTAAGGTCAAACACTTTTGACCAAACGTTTAGACAATTATGCAGTTTACTCAAACTCACAATGACAAGGACTTCAGCCTTTTAGTCTTTCCCTTGAAGCAAAGTTCCTGTGTACTTAGCACTTAGGAGAAAGATCAATGCTTAAAGCGAAGATCATAAGATGATATGAGAGACGACTACAATTTCCAGTACCATTATGACAATTATAACCAACTATCCACTATTCCAACGCCTATAAATACCATCATGTTTTGTGTTATTTCATATGTTCCCCACTTCTTATTTTCACTCATTGTGTAGCTATAAGGTATAGATTTCAGAGCTCAAATGGTAAGAAACTCTTCCCGATAGTTAATAGTTGCAGTCATGGGCCATTTGTGGAGGTTTTCCTCCCCTAAACTCCCTTTTCCGTCGAGATTCTTTTCTAGTTGCTCTTACTTTGTAGATTAATGTAGCCACGACTTGTTTTATTTTCAATAGTAATGCGATATCACTTGATCCTCTATTTACCTAGAAATCATCCTTACCATGTTGTTTTACTCTGTTTAAGTTTGAACATTAGTTAAGATGTGGAAGAACGTGTATAAGTTGAATACCCATGTCTTTTTTATAGACCAAAAGAGATGTCTAGATGGTTAGTAACGAACGAGCAATGATAAACATGACAATGTCATCAAACTCATAATCATAATTCAACCTAGAATAAATAGATGTAACACAATGATATATAACAAATGAAATGACTAAATAGCAAAATTAGATATAGGTGAAGTCTATTAGATCCCAATAATATCTTGTTACAAATACTTTACTAATTAATAATGTTCTTAGTTTTTTTTTACCCATACACGCACACACTCACACACCCGACAGAAATTTCACCCAACTCAAGCATATACCCACCCACATGGAATCGAACCTAAGACCTAGCCCTTATACGAGGAATGCCTCACTACTTGATCTACAAGAATTTGACTTAATAATGTTCTTAGTTATGAAGTCAAGCATTCGCTAAGCACTAAGGTCAAGTACCAACAAATCCGATGGTCTAGCTTAAACAATCAACCGTAATCTTCATTATTTCACCCAACGCATCCTTTTAAGTATAAATCTTCACCAAGACATACCTCCATAGGGCTCACAAATCACTATCACTTCTACTTTATATAACCACCATGTGCACCTTTTCACTTTCACGATATCATTTATATCAAAATGATATAATAACACAATTTATTATCACTTCTTCCAATATAAGCACCATTTGCACTTCACTGAATATATAAACTATTCGCTCATTACATTCCACAAACATTTCATTTATTAAAACATTCATTAATACTTCTCTCTCCTCATGTATCATTACTTCATATTGCTAAACCATGTAGCAATCACCTTGCTTTCAATAGTCAATTTAGCTAAATTTACAAAATGTCTTAAAGTAAAAATCATTTTTAGCCTTCATCTTGGCTAGAGTCAAACGCATAATTCTTACAAGTAATTTTTTAATTAAAATCCCTAGTTCAATCTAAAAAATTACCAAAAAAATTGTATAAAAACCATTATAAGTAGACTACAACATTGACAACTCTCACTCATTATCTAACACAATCCATAACCAAGTTCTATCATTTTTATCATCAAAATCATACTACTCAGGGTATGTATCACCTATGAAAAATATATTCAAAGGATCTAGAATATATATAAAATATATTGTGACATCTCGTCGTACAAGCCACGCAAGACCAGACATGTCAAGATTTTAGACTCGCCCCACAGGTCAACACAGGTCCTTAAAATTACACTAGGGTAAGCACACTTAACTTTAGAGTTCTTTCAGTAGGGCTTCCGAGAAAAAGAGTGCACATTGTTGATATGAGTATTTTATTCAACTTCGGATGGCTTAATACCTGCTCATCTACACATGGGAGTTGACCAAGCAACAACCTGACTACTGGGGTATTACATATATATATATATATATTAACCACAAATCACAAAGTGAACAATAAAAAAACAACAAAATATTGGCTCATACACTTAGCCTCCTTTATAGAGAAAGGAATTCAAGAAATTGGTGGTATTTTCAGTAGCCAACGGATGCCCATCTGATGTGTTGTAAAGCCAAAGTTGGAGTGATAACCCCAAATTTGAGTTTTTTTTTTTTATTTTCAAAACATGATTATTACTTGTATATTTCTTTTTTGTGAAAATTATCATAATATTTTACTTATAACATACTTTATTGATTTATTTTTCTTGATATGATCCAATACGTATTAAATGATATTTATTAACTTTTTTATCCGACTTAAGTGAAATTTAGGCCCAAATTATCAGTCAGGAGCAAAGCGACAAAGGCAAACAGACTATGAGATGTCTTGGAGCGAAACTAGAATCTGCTCTACTGGACAAAGAGCGGTCAATGAATTTCCAACACTGCACCGAGACCCTGAAGTGAAATTCTATCTTCTGAAGCAAAACAGGCATCAAAGCGGTACAACTATTCAGTTCTAACTCACGATGAACACCAATTCTGCTTTGAGTGACGTCAATGCCCTCTTACAGTGAAGCAAAGAGGAAGATCTGTACCAGATCTAGAAAGAAGCCGCAAAGTTAATGAGTTGGGAGTCATGGAAGTTGCAACAAAATCCAACAATATAACCGCCTAACTGCTAGCGGTTACAAGTGATCTTCAACAACGTTTCAACTGTTTTTCCAATTGGCGGTTCGATTGTTGAATTGTTGTCCTTTGTTATTCTATAAATAGAGTCATATTTCTCATTGTAAAATACGCTTACACATATGCTCAATTCAATTACTATAAAATTACTCTTTTGAGAGCTCAAAACTATAAGAGGTTCTCTTTAGTTAATTGTGAAAGATAGGGGATCAATGGAGTTTCTCCACCCCTGACCTCCTGCCAGTACTGTTGGAATTCCTTTAACGGTAGATTTACTCTTTTATTTTCCTGCCTTTTAATGTAGAGTTTACTTCTTCTTAGCTGTTAATAAATCATAATTTTCTATTTTATTCTCTATCTTAACCCAAACATCCAGGTTTGTATTTGATTATTTAAATTATGGTTCTTGATAAAATTGTGGAAGGGCGAGAGAAGAGTTAACTATCTAAGTCTATGATTGCGTAACCAATGGAGATTAGGTAGTTTGTAATATATAAGTACGCGAGAGCCTTGTCGACATACTTATTATGTAAACTGAATTTGTGATTCTAATTAAAAAGGGGTATCAAAGGGTTAGAGCCATTATCGAAACAACTTAAGTAATAATTCATTAGATATAAGCGTTAGTCTATCGAGTCCTAGAAATATCCAGTAACAGTTGTATTTTTAAAAATAATCTTCCTAGTTGTGAGATTTAAAGTCTCGATGTAACTCCCATAAGATCAAGTAACAATCAAGTCAAGAATCTGATATAAATAAACAAGTATGATTACACACTTTACTTCTATTTATTTTCGCTCTTATAAATGGTTATATTATTTCACCATCATCATCTCACTCGTTGCATCAAGGAAAAACTAGCCATTTAGGAATGCAGAAGGATCAAACAAAAACATCAATTTTCATCATACAATCATATATAATTTCGCTCAAAACTCACTTTTATTCTTAGCCACCACTTGCTCTCTCCATCACTGTCACCCTCGCTTCCCTCACCACTTCGCTCCACTCCCTTTACCAATACATTCCACTTCGTTTTATTCCACCGCTCGGCCACTACGCTCACTTTACTACTTTTACAAAAATAACTTTACAACTTTTTGCTGCTAGTTATCTTAACCACTTTATCGTTCTGCTCAAAATTATCTATAGGTATTTCTTTAGTTTTTATTCAAGACTTAAAAATTTCTGAGTTTGACTAGGAAACTTGTAAAAAGAAGTATAAACATAATCTTTATAGGAAGTTAGGCAAGTACAACATCATCATTTATTCAAGAGTAAACTGATTTTTGGTCTCTTAACTAGATCCTTTTATCATTTTAGTTTCGTACACTACAAAAAAAATAATATATTTGTAACGGAATTCCGTCCCTAAAGTTCACGTAGCTAATGTAATTTCATTACTAATTCTGTCTCTAATGCCATTAGTAACGGAAAAGGTAGATTTAGAGACAAAAAAGTTTTGTTACAAAAATAATTTTTTCTTGTAGTGGTAACTGGAGTCTTTTGCAAACTAGTCCTATAAATGGAAAATTTCTGCACTTTTAGTCCTTCGACGCTGGAAATGCTTATGTGGCACCTGTGTGACTCGTCGGATGACACGTGTCCGCCACGTCAGTGATACATGGCAGACATATAGATTTTTTTTTAATTTTTTTTAAAAAATTTTAATTTATTTATTTGGCATTTTTTGTAAAAATTAAAACTTTTCAAAAAAATAATTGAAAATTAAAATCTTTTAAAAAATCAAAAAAATAAAAAAATTAGTATTGATTGATGTATGAAACCCTATATTTATTTATATTTTTGTTATTTATTATCTCTAGAAATCTGTTTTTTTTTTTATATTATTTGTTATTCTAACAAAATTTAATTAATTATCTAAATTTATTAATTAAAAAATAAATAAAAAACTCCAAAATTATGTTAGCGCAGGAATATGAGTGCCTTGTCAAATATATATATGTATATGATTAGTAAAAATATAAAAATAATAAAAAAATTAATTCAATATTTAATAAATAAAAAAATTGAAACATTTTTGAAACATTAAAATAAAAGATAATAACATAAATTAGAGATAGAGTTTTAATTAGGGTTGTAGTTCGGATTTGGTTATAGACTTAGCCCATCTCTTGGATGTGAGTTTAACACTCTTATTTAATTAGGTTTAATTATATTTTCATCCAAACTGCAATAAATTATACAAAATACATGAGTGTGGTTTTTGTGCTGATCCATTAATTACATCATAATGGACATAATAATATAAGAATATTTATGTAAAAAACATGTGTTAAATATGTGAAAGATTATAAAAGTTGAAGGGCAAATAAAAAAAATTTAGTACATACGTATTTAATATCTGCGGCGGTTAGCTAGCAATAATGTCAAACAATACAAATGCTGATTTGGTTCTATCAGCACAAATCAATAGGGCCGATAGTACGTACATATATATATATATATAATACATCATAATATTACGTTATATAAATGCATATGTTGTACAATTTATTTATTGTATTGTATTGTATTGTATATATATATTTATTATTGTGTTATGTAAAATTATATTATGTGTTTTCAAAATATGTCTTGTATGTTGTATTATCATGCGTTGATTTGTACAAGATCAAATTGATATCATACTGATTTAACATATTCTGCACGAAAACCGAACCATTAATAACCATTATTATTCTTTATGTTTTTGCCGATATTTTCAACCTACACAGTTATTTTTATAATCTAGCACACGTAATTATCACGTGCTTGCCAATCGTAGTTTGTCCTATGTCTAAAGGCCATGGGACATGCTTAGGCCAAACATAGGTACATAAATATGGCTGGCTTTTGTTACCCAATCTATATGTTGCTAATATTGTACTGTTTTGGTTCCCAAATAAATGATACATTTGTTCTGAACATAGTTATCTAGAAAATATAAATTAGTAATATATTAATGATATTATTTTATTATTATTTTTTATATAAATAGTATTCTTGGTACTTTAAAAATTAATATATATATATGATGAAAAGAAATTTAGAATATGTGTTCAAATATTTTAAATATTATATTTCAATAAAATATGTATAATACCGTACATAATAAAATTTTATATAATCAAATAAATAAATAAATAATATTTGAGAGTTTTATAAAAACATATTTAGCTTTATATCTCAATAAAAATATATTTATTTGTTTATAATTAACTTATACGAGTTTTATAAAAATTGGAAAGTTTTAAATATAGATAAAAATATTTATTTATACAAGAGAGTAGAAAAATAAAATGGATTTTGAGTGGTATGTGTAAAATGTTAGAAATTTAATTATAGTTATTATGTTTAAAATGAAAAGAATTATTACAAATAGAAATAAATCATTTATTTTGAGACCGACTAAAAAGAAAAATGGATCATATAACATATTCTTCTATTATGAGTTTGTTTGTTCAACTAATTTTTTAATCGATACGATTCCCAATATGTATATATTTTACTTTCTCACTAAAAATAACATTCAATATAAAATATTATTTATTCTTTTATATTTTCTATAACTCACATAAATATACTCAAATTAAAACTCTAAACAAATACACCTTAATTTTTTAGTATTATTAATTTCTTTTGTTAAATTAAAAATTTATTTTATTATTCGTTGGATAATCGGTTATTTTACAATCGATTATTTTGTGAGTGAAAATGCGACGGGCCGGTGTACCATAATTAATTTGGAAGAAACTGTATGGGGTTTGGGTAATATTTTTGCTATTTTGCCTGTCTCGAGACAAACCAAATTGTGCAACCCCAAATTAAACCCGGGTATATGGCCTAAGTCGCAATATTATTTGGATAAAATATTATCCGTTGGATAGATTTTTTATAATCTCAAACGAAATGTTTGAAATTAGAAGAAATTACAATCGTTTCAAATGGAAGACTTGAAATTAGAATAAATTATGATCATCACAAACGGAAGGTTTGTAATTAGAATCAATTACGACTGCTTCAAACGGAAGGTTTTAATTTATAATTAATTACATCGATAACTAAGGTCGTAATTATGATCGTAATTGATCTCCTGCCATTTTAGCTGAGTGGAGACGCCTATATAAAGGGTCTCCCCCTTCATTCTAACATCTAACAAAAACAATCCTCTAGTCCTCCTCTCCTCTCTTCTAGCTTTCCGGCAGCCTCCCCAGCTCAGTTTCTCTCTCGTTTTGTTCGTCGAAGCTCCAACGATTAGAGGTGTCACTCTCATTGGAGACGGAAACCGTTTTATCTTTGGATTAAAACGCCACCCACCGGAGGCACTACCGGGGCGTATCTAATTTTCGGAAAGAGGATCCATCATCGACTCGGTTTCACGTTTATTCTCACAATACCCATATATTCCAACAATCAAAAATTAGATATTCCTTTGCGAGAATGTCAACCCCTGCCGAATTCACCGCCGGAGAAGTCTCCGGAGCCGTCGCCAGAGAATTTTCCGGAGCCGTCTCCAGAATCGCCGCCGGAGGAATCGCCGGAAGAACCCCCGGAGCCGTCGCCGGAGCCGCCACCGGAGATTTCGCTGGAAAAGTCGCCGGACGAGTCGCCGGAATCTCTGCTGGAGCCGCCGCCGGAATCGCCACCGGAGATGTCGCCAGAAAATTCGCCGGAGCCGCGGCCGGAGGAGACGCCGGAACCGCAGACAAGATAGTCGCTCATTTACTTGGGCCAGTTCCCTTTATGGCAGCCCTTTGTTTTCTGGATTTGTCCCTGGGGGATATGGGGGATTTCCTGGGTTTGTGGCCGCACCCTCTGCTTCATTCGCGGCCCAAACTGTTAGTTCTAGGCTTGGCCCACGGATGATGATCCATGTATAAGTTCCATAACCATTCACGGGAGTGAACTTTAAGAGGTGGCAGGAGAAGATGTTCTTTTACCTGACTGCGATTGGGTTTGCCATGTTCGTGTTGCACGATGGCCCAATCACCCCACAGCCCGGTGCTGATCAGCAGACGCATGCAGATTATGCATCGTGGGCACACAGAGACTACATGACAAGAAATACTATATTAGGTAGTCTCTCTAACTCTCTTTATAATGTATATTGCAAAATAAATAGTGCGAAATGGTTGTGGGATGCCTTTGAGAAAAAATATAAGCCCGAGAATGCCGGATCTAAAATGTTTGTCGTGGCCCGATTTATGGACTATAAGATGGTAGATGGCAAGTCCGTTGTCGAACAAGTGGAAGAATTTCGACATATTGTTCACTCTGTTATCGATTGTCCGAATCAGGATAGAGGAAGACAACAGAAAACAGCACAAAGCTAAAATTGGAGATATTGCTAAAGTCAACTTGGTCGGAGATCCTGCCAAAAAACGTGCACGCCCAACTCAAACGGACAAGGGCAAAGCCAAACAGTCCAAGTTTACAAGTAACTGTTTTAACTGTGGTAAAACAGGAAACCAGGTTAAGGACTGCATGACACCGAAAAAGAAGAAGCTGAGTTCTCAAATGGTCGAGACGAGCCACCGGACTGATTGTGATCTCAATAGTGACGACCTTGTCGCTGTTGTGTACGAAACAAATAATGTGGAAAGTCCGAGAGCTTGGTACTTTGACACCGGAGCAACCTGCCATGTTTGCTCCGACAAAACAAACTTCTCGACCTACAAGGAGACCGAAGGGAGAAAACTGCAACTTCTGAGGTCCAAGGGGTAGGGAACGTGGTGCTGAAGATAACCTCTGGCAAAGAACTAACCCTGAAAGATGTCGTGCATGTTCCAGACATTCGAAAAAATCTCGTCTCAGGATCGCTACTAGTTAGGCATTGTTTTAAACTTGTCTTTGTAGCAGATAAATTTATATTATCGTACAACAAAATGTTCCTAGATATGGTTTATCTTACAAATGAACAGTTCAAATTGAATGTAATGGCCGTGCGCTGAGCACCACCTACTTATAATAAAAATATTGCTTCTTCTTCGTACTTGATTGAGTGTTCTGATTTATTGCATTGTAGACTAGGTCATGTAAACCTAATGCTATAAAAAGATTAGTAAATATGAATTTACTAAATATAAAAGAGGTGAACACTCAAAACAAATGTGAAGTTTGCGTAGAGGCCAAAATGGCAAGATTACCCTTCCCGTCTGTTGAAAAGAAGACTAAGCCATTAGAGTTAATTCACACCGATGTATGTGATTTAAAATTTGTGTAAACTAGAGGTGAAAAGAAATATTTCATCACCTTTATCGATGGCTGTACAAAGTATTGCTATCTTTACCTATTAAGGGAAAAGAGCGAAGCAATCAAAGCCTTCAAGAACTTCAAAACCGAGGCAGAAAATCAATTTGACTGTAAAATCAAGACAGTTCGAACTGATAGAGGTGGCGAATATGTGACCCCGTTCAAAGAATTATGTAACGAAAGTGGCATAATTCATTAGACAACGACTCCATATTCACCTCAATCCAACAGCGTTGCAGAACGCAAAAATTGAACACTTAAGGAAATGATGAATGCCTTGTTGATAAGTTCAAGACATCCCTAAAACCTTTGGGGGAGGCGGTACTGACTCCAAATTATATCCTGAACAAGATTCCACTTAAGGGTAAGGATGTCACCCTTTACGAACTATAGAAAGGCAAGAAACCCACATATAAATACTTCAAAGTGTGGGGGTGCCTAGCAACAGTGGAAGTTCCGTTTCCAAAGCAAGTCGCTATTGGCCCAAAAACGGTAGATTGCATATTTATTGGATATGCACTAAACAGTAATGTGTATCGTTTCATAGTTCACAAATCGGAAATCCCTGGGATGACCGAGGGAACTACGATAGAATCAAGGAATGCCACATTCTTTGAAAATATCTACCCTTGTAAGGAACGGATGCAGTCAAACCCAAAATCCGTAGATAAAGAAGTACGGGGCGTAAAAAGACAAATGACCAGTAGCTCTGATCAAGAGGCTTCAGAGCCTAGGCGTAGCAAAAGAACAAGGGTCGAGAAAACCTTTGGTCCGGATTTTGTTACGTATACGTTAGACAATGATCTAACAACGATCAAGGAGGCACTATCTAGTCCTGATGCTCATTTTTGGAAGGAAACAATAGATAGTGAAATAGACTCTATAATGTATAATAACACTTGGGTGTTATCTGCCCTACCCGAAGGTTGCAAACCACTAGGGTGTAAACGGGTTTTGAAAAAGAAACTCAAGGTTGATGGGTCAATTGACAAATACAAAGCCCGTCTCATAGTAAAAGGCTACAGAAAAACCGAAGGGTTTGACTTCTTCGACACATATTCACCGGTAACCAGGATAACATCCATTCGAATACTTCTTTCGATTGCGTCTTTGAACAATCTTGAGATTCACCAAATGGATGTGAAGACTACTTTTTTAAATGGTGAATTAGAAGAAGAAGTATATATAGAACAACCGGAAGGATATGTCGTTCCTGACCAAGAGAAAAAGATGTGCAAACTGATAAAGTCTTTGTTAGGCTGAAACAAGCACCTTTACAATGGCACTTGAGATTTGATAACGTTATGTTATCAAATGGTTTCAAAATAAACGAGTGTGACAAGTGTGTTTACATCAAAGAAACACCTTCCGGTTTTATCATAATATGTCTATATGTAGACGACCTACTAATCATGGCTAAAGAGGTCAGTTTGATCAATAAGATCAAATGCATGTTGAGTCGTAACTTTGACATGAAAGATTTCGGGGTTGCCGACATCATCCTTGAAATGAAGATTCTAAGACAAGACGAAGGTATTGTTCTGACTCAGTCTCACGATGTGGAAAATATACTGAGAAAATTCAATACTCCATTGAAAACCCCAATGACCTCAGCGTACACTTGAACAAAAATATGGGAGACCCCGTAACTCAAGAAGACTATGCCAAAATTATTGGAAGCCTAATGTATTTAACATATTGTACAAGGCTTGACTTGGCTTGCCTTGTAAACAAGTTGAGTCGATACACTAGCAACCCTAGTCATAATTAATTTAGCTAAATTTTGACATTATCCCTTAAAAAGTAAATTTCATTTCCAATCCTCATCTTGGCTACACTTAGACACGTAATTCTTACAAGTTTTTGACTTAAAATATCTAAGTTCAATTTAAAAAATCACCCATGAACATTATAAGTAGACTTCAACATTGACAACACTCACTCAATATAAAACACAATTCCATAGCCAAATTCCATCATTTCTATTATCAAATCATACTACTCACAGTATGTAGCACCTGTAAAAAAATATATTCAAAGAATTTAGAATATATATATATACAAGGCCATCTCGGACTTTTTGGGGCCTAAGTGAAAATAAATTATAGGTCCTATAAATACATGATTAAAATATATTTTCAAAATAATATCACTGATTGGAGTCGATTGGAGAAGAAGTTGAATGTGATCGTATGGACAATGTTAATTTGAGAAAAAAAATGAAAGACGGTCTGTCTGAAATTTCAAAAAACGAAAAGGATTGAAGGAGGGTGAAATAGATAAGAGAGAAGGTGAGACATGTTTGGTCTGAGTTGGTGGGCACAGTGCGATAGGATGTGAGGTAAAGAAGTATAAACGACGATTAAATTTGAAAAGATAGAGTGAAGCAGGAAGAAAGAGATAGAAAAAATATAGTATATAATTAGAATTTAAACTTTAATTTTAAAATTAAATAGGATAATTATGAATGAAGGAAAAAATATAAATTAAAAGTTAAAATATAATTTTAAAATTTAATAATAATAATAGATAATAATTTAAAATATGAGCCTTCCATTAATCAGGGTCCTGAGCAGTTGTTCACTAGCCTCTCTCTCTCTCTCTATATATATATATATATTAAATTTAAATCACAAAGTGAACAATAACAAAACAACAAAATGTTGGCTCAGACACTCAGCCTCCTTCGTAGAAAAAGGATCTCAAGAAATGAGAGCTTCGGCATTGTTAATGGCCAATTAATGCCTACGCAGACCTTAAAATCTACTTTGACACCAACTCAAATCCTGGTAAAGGTGTGATTTAAAGATGATACATAGATTATAACCGTAGAAAAGACAAATAATTTATGTTTAAAATCAAAATTGCAACATATAGTTGCACTATCAACAATAGGATTAGAATAAATGATTGTTAACTGAAGTCTTGAAGGAGACACCGTCGTTAAAATGAATGCTTTCTTAAATTGGTTTTCAAATATAGCATTTGCCCCACTGTTCATGGGCAAAATGGGAATGAATGTAACCTCGATCCATCAAATTTATGTTTGTTTTTCAATTTGATTCTATCCACCAAATTTATAACCACTTAAGTATTAATGTAACTGTAAGGCAAAAACAACTTTGTCATTGTAGCTGCATCACACGTACAATATCAATTGAACTCATTGTTTAATGAATCTTTCAAAATACTTTTAATTTACATATCTTTTACTTGTAAATTAAGATATTATTTTTTAATTTCCCGGTACAAGCATAAATTTCTTAGACAGAAGTAGTGTATAGTTTCGAAAGGTTGGTCAAAGTTGAGCTAACAAATTAATGACATAGTTAGTAGGTTGTTATTCGACCTAAACGAACGTGTGTGTATATATAGACATATAAATTGAATATTCTGTTAATATTACTTGCAGATTAAAGCACAAATAATAGAGAGACTCATCTCTTGTGTTCTATGAGTACTGAAAAAGCAATGGCTGAAAAAGGTGTGAATAACTTGGGCAAGGAAGTTGTCGGAAATTGTCAAGGCCGTGTCGTCGGTGACTTCCCTCCAAGTCTATGGGGTGATTTGTTCCTCAGATACACCCCTGATGATCAGGTTTAGTATATTCTTTTCTACTGTAACAATTGAATAGTGCAAGAATAATATCATAAAATAGTGCGAAAATATATTTGCAAACTTACTATATACACAAGTTTATTTAAAGGAAATAAAATTGTTAGTAATTTTCTGGTTGTTTTTTCACTAATAGCTCATGCAAGAATATTCAAAAGAGATTGAAGTGCTGAAGGGTAAAGTCAAGAGTATGCTAACAACATCTCCCACGAGTTGCAACAACATTGTCGAAACCATGGAGCTAATTGATACAATCGAACGCCTATGCTTGTCCTACCACTTTGAAGACGAGATTAAAGACAAGTTGGAAAAATATTTCAATCTTGATGTTGATTATAAGAATGAAGCCTACGATCTCCACACCGTAGCACTTCACTTTCGATTATTCAGAGCGCATGGCTATCATATGTCGCCGGGTATGTCTTGAATCTCTTTTATATTGTGGTAAAAATATAGATAAAGTAAAACTACAGTTTTGAAAAATACAAGATATATAAAAACATGATAATGATTCGTTGATTATATGTTATTACTAAGAATATTATTGTAACTCATCAAGTAACTTTCTTTCCGGAAATTAGATGTGTTTAGTAAATTCAAGGATGATAAAGGGAGTTTCCAAGAAGCCCTAAAGAGTAAGGCAAGAGGTTTGTTAAGCCTATATGAAGCAGCTCATCTACGGATACACGGAGAAGACATCCTTGACGAGGCTCTGATTTTTGCAACCTCAAATCTCAAGTCTGCAACACAAATTATCGATTCACCCCTTAAAGAAGAAGTTGAGCATGCTCTAGTGCAGCCATTGCATTTGAGCATTCCAAGAGTTGATGCGCGAAAGTTTATCTCAATTTATGAAAAACGGAAACAACACTATAACATCCTTCTTAGATTCGCCAAGTTGGACTATAATTTATTGCAGCATCTTCACAAGAAAGAGCTCTACGAAATCTCAAGGTACCTTCATGATCAACACACCTATGATGTTTGTATCCGTAAATTTGGTTAAACTAACTGTCATCGATGGTCAGGTGGTGGAAAGAATTGGATGTTCCATCGACAATTCCATATGCTAGAGATAGAGTAGTTGAGTGTTACTTTTTTTCGATGGGGACATATCATGAACCTCAATATTCTCATTGCCGAGTTTTACTCACCAAAGTCATTGCAACATTATCCATACTCGATGACACATATGATTCTTATGGTACAACTGAAGAACTTAATGTTATTACAGATGCTATTCAAAGGTAACAAGAAATCATACTACTTTGAATTAAATGAAGTTTGGACATTATATGTATCATAACTGATTGTCTTAGAGATATTTCAGGTGGGATATTACCCAGATCGATCATGTCCCGGAGTATTTTAAATCGTTCTACAAAGCGCTTTTGGAACTCTACGAAAAATTTGGAGAAGAATTGGGAGCGAGAGGGCAATCTTATGCAATAACCTATGCCAAAGAAACTGTAAGTTAAATTGCAAGGAAGTATTTTATGTAGTAGAGATTATTCAAAAAAAAACTATCTATTTGATAAAATAGAAGTAAAACAACAACAACAACAACAACGTGAGGAACATCATTTTTTTAGGGCTTTGTTTTTGTAGAAAGTTTACCATGCACAATTCTTGGATGTTATGCTCTAACTTTCTTCATGAGTGATACAAGAGAATTAAGTTTCAAAAAATAATACATTGTGTGTTGGCGTTTGTTTATTTTGACATTTATGAGTTAAAAATATTTGTTGGATATGATATTTTGAGATGAAAAATGATAGAATGAATAGGCCAATAATGGGTTTAAAAATACAAGTTAATAAACTAGTACAATTTGTTCAATCAATGTATGGTTTTCGACCTTTATGTACCATACCTAATTATCTAACTTTTTGTTCCGATCCATGATGCAGCTTAAAGAATTGGTGAGATGCTACAATGTTGAGGCAAAATGGTTCAATGCACGGTGCTTGCCACCATTTGATCGATATCTAAGTAATGCTATAGTTACATCAGGCAACTATTACCTTGTAGTTGCATCATTGTTTGGAACAAAATTTGCAACTAAAGAAAACTACGAATGGTTGATGACGAAACCTAAGGTACTAGTAGCAAGTTGCATCATTGCTCGTGTTGTTGATGATGCAGCTACATACGAGGTATGGATATTTATAGAAATGATTTCATCGTATATACTTTCTCCATCCCATTAAGTATAGATACTATTAAAAAATAATAGTATTTATATTTAGATAATATATAAGTGCGTAAAGATTCAAATACCCTTAGATTGTAAGGATCACGACAAATAAACAATGTGTTAAAAAAGGTATTTCAATACTTTTATATAAAAATAGTAGGATATTTTATTACTCTCTCTGTCCACCAAAATGTCACTATATCTTTTTCAGCCTTATACATAATATTTATAGTTAACAATTTTATCCAATTACAATTTTATTATTCTTACTTTAATAAGTAATAACCAATTTTCCATTATTTTTTTTACTCATCACACTATTTTTATTAATCATTTAATAATTTATTATAATAGCTTCATTTTACTTTTTACCTACTCACTTTAATCTCAAAATTTCATTATTTCTTAGTTTTTGTACACAATCGAACCTACATCATTTTACCGGATGGAGAGAGTAATATTTTAGGGCCACACTTATAAAATAGAAATATCTTTATTGTTGGGTTCCTATGTCATCAAAATAAAATAAAATAAAATAAAAAATAAAAATATGTTTATTGTTTGTGTACAATCCTAAATGTCTAATGTTAGTAGACATAAGGAGTATGATATTTACTCAATTTACACGTTCATATTGCACCCTTTTAGTTTATGTCTCTAATAATTATGTCATATTGGTTATTATTGTTGTTGTTTTGTTGTCATCATCATCCTTTAAGGTTGAAAGAGATATGAGAGGCCACAAAGCTACTGGCATTGGATGTTATACAGAAGACAAAGAAGTTTCAGTCGAAGAAGCCATAGATAAGTTCTATGAGATGGCTAAAGATGCATGGAAGGATATAAATGAAGAGCTTCTCAAACCATCAAAACACTTGAGGGATGTTCTTATACGAATCTTGAATTTGACGCGAGTAGTACAAGTTGTTTACAATGGTACCCAAGATGGATACACACATCCAACAAGAGTTTTAGCACCACATATCAAGTCGTTGCTCGTGAATCCCATCATAATTTAAGATTTCTTGTCATCTTAATAAGATTATACAGATGTTTGTGTGTGAATAAGAATCTAGGAATGCTCATGTATTTGTCATATGTAGGTTTTTTGTTGTTTGTGATTAATATTTTGTTTTGCTATTGTTTCTCGATGTTTTTCCCTATTCCCCGTCTTTGAAAATAATCACGGAAAATTTACAAACTCCAGATATCCTACCACCACTTAAAAAAATCCACTTGTATAAGTTCTTGCCAAGCCTATAATTTTCTTTGATTCCAGATTTTTTATATTTGTGTTTAAAATTGAATTTGTGTTGCCATGTACGATGTTTTTGGCCATCCAATATCATTAAGAGTTTCAAATTGACATTTTCTACTTTCCGGTTGGGACTAAAAAAAACGACCTAACAAGTTTGATTTTACTCTAACTAATAAAGGGGTTGATTAGAAATTAGAGAAGTAATTTAGGAATTGGTTGAGCGGATGAGTCGGGCTACAAAATAAACATTTTTTTTTAGTTCATTTTGGATAAATTTCTGATTGAACCTATTACCCTATAAATATAGACCAACTTTTCATTATCGTGAAATGAGAAGTTATACTACAAAAAATCAATATTTCCATCAATAGATTAGTCCCATTGCTTAGATTTGATTCCTGCACTCTTATTTAATTAAAATAAGGATGTATTTCTTTGGCCAAATTTTCCCAAAGATTATGCCTACCATAGTTTATGGCCTTAATGAAATATGCCTTAATTTATTTTTACAATGGATTAAACTATCAAACTCCCTCCATTCCATTGTCTTTACCTGACCTCGCTAACACCAATTGTTTTTCGAAGCTCCAGGAATCGAATACGTCTAAGTGGCTTAGTCAATATATCTGCAAGTTGATCATTGGTCTCAGTATATTAAAGGATAATTTATCCTTTCTCGAAACAAACACGGATGAAGTGATACCATGTCAATATGTTTACTTTGATCATAAAGGACGAGATTCTTGCTGAGTGCTATAGCAGGCTTGTTATCCACCCTTAGTTTTGGTGTATATACCTTCCATTCCAATAGTTCTTGCAGTAGTAGATGAAGCCATATGCATTGGCAGGTGGCTGTTGCAGTGTGATGACTTCAAATATAAGCATATTTCTCGCTTGACAAAATTGCGTATTACTTGAATTTCTGTATAAAAACTAGCACATAACTAGTTTATGGCATATTTTATTGATCTATATCGTTTGGCATGATCCAGAGTTGGTTTGTTGAGATTATTAACAATTTTTGCCCTTTCTAAGCGATGTTTTGGATCCATAAAAGCTAAGGCAGACGAGACAAGCGATAGTCATCTCCGCTCGCAAGCGGTGATTCCATCGCCCAGAAAAACTAAGGCAAGAGAGGCAAGCGGTAGATTCCACCGCTCACAAGCGACAACCTCTACTGATCGCGAGCGACACTCCAGACACCCACCGCAGCGGAGCGACGGCAACTCAACTCAAATATTGCCTAAGTGTCCCAATTGCAGTGATACAGTCATTCAACTACCAGCCAGCACAAGCAAGCCCGCCTAATTGCGCTGATTCCCTCCAGTCACCCGGCAAGCGAGAAATATATGTGCCCTTACAAACCCATGCAAGCGAAGCGAGCACCCTAGGAGTTATGGCCAGCAATTGCTTCAACAGAACAACCGTCATCAACTGCCTAACTGCCTAGCGATTGAAACTACTTTGTAACTGCTTGTAACCGCTACTTCTACATGATATAAATAGGGCCAAATATTTGTATGTAAAATATACTTCGAGAGGAGTATACTAGCAATTAATTTCGTGCATTCTAGTTGTCTTCCTGTTTCCAGATAGCTCCAACCCTGTAAGGGAGTTCTCCACAGGAATGACCAAGGGAGTTGGGATTCCTCTTCTCCCTTGGCCATTACTTTATCGTTTTCTTAGTGTAGTTTATCGTTTTAATTACAGTTTTGTAAAATTAGAATTTCCAACTTTACTAGTAAGTAATGAAATATCATTCAATTCTTCATTTTCACTTCTTCCACACTTTTTCACATTTATATAAACCCTAATTGTAAAGAAGTTCACTTTACTGGTTTAGAGCACAAAAAAAATTAATTATCCAAGCCTTGTCTTTTGTCACAAACATATTTAAGGTAGTTCAATGTAGTTGGGTACGTGGAAGCCTTGTCGGCCTGCTTAACTAGTGGTTTAAATTCGATATTGATTAAAAGGAGGTAACAGAAGGGTAAAGCCACTAATGAGGCAAAAATTGCGATAATTACTAGGGCATAGGCGGTGGTCTATTGGGTCATAGAAACTCCTAGTGACACAGTAGGACTTTTTTCTTTGTTAAATAGAGAGATATCAAGCAAGAATTCTCTGTTCACTCTTCCCAGCATGCTTCCAAAGACACGAAATAGATATAAGAGATAATGTAGAGACAGAAAATCCAATTATGATGAACCCTTGGACTTCTCAACACAGAGGCCAATGATGTCTGCGCTGCGGGAAGACCGCAAACAATCATATGCAAAAGACCCAATCTCCCCTAAATTCTGAATGCACCAGCTTTTTGATCAAGGAACCAATGCACAAAGCATAGATATTAGCAAATAAAAGGCCCAGGTGAGAGAAGAGCAGATCCATAAAATTGACCCAGAATATTTTTCGCCAACATCAGCATTTTTCAAAAATATATGAAGACAGCGAGACAACTATATTGTTATGCACCACATAACACTTGGTAGGATTTGCTAATGATAGCACATACCAAGCTTACGTCGCAATGCTTCGAATTGATTTGAATCGAGTGCCTTTGCCAGTATGTCTGCCAGTTGATTTGTTGTTTGAACATGCTGCAGATTACAAATTCTCTCCTCGACCAACTCACGAATGAAGTGATATCTGATATCTATATGTTTCGTTCTGCTGTGCTGGACCGGATTTCGTGAGATATTGATTGCGCTAGTATTATCACAGTAGAGGGTAAAACTTTTGAATTCGAGTCCATAATCTTCAAGCATTTGTTGCATCCAAAGGAGCTGAGAACAACCTTCAGCAGCTGCAATGCACTCTGCTTCTGCGGTGGAAAGAGCTATGCTATTATGCTTTTCTGAGAACTAACTAATTAGATTACTTCCAAGATAAAAACAGCCTCCTGAAGTGCTATTTCGATCATCACAGTAACCCACCCAGTATGCATTTGAATATCCCATCAATTCAAGCGATGATCGTTTGGAGTACCGAATTCCCAAATCAGATGTACACTTTATGTAGCGCAAAATACGTTTGACAGCATTCAGGTGTGATTCCTTGGGATTTGCTTGATATCGGGAACATACTCCAACACTGAAGTTGATATCTGGTCTGCTTACAATAAGATAGAGAAAACTCCCAATCACAACTTGTGATAACTCAAATATTTTTGAAAGATGTTGTTTTTGGCGAAAAATACTCTGGGTCATTTTCTTATGGATCTGATCTTCTGTCAACTGGGCCTTTTATTTGCTAATGTCTATGGTTTGGGCCTTGGTTCCTTGATCAAAAAGCTGGTGCACTCAGACTTTAAAGGCGATTGGTCTTTTGCATATGACTGCAGACCGCAGTGCAAACATCATTGGAGTCTGTGTTGAGAAGTCCAGGGTTTCGTCATAATTGGATTTTCTATCTCTGCATTATCTCCCATATCTGCTTCGTGTCTTTGGAAACGTGTTGGGAAGAGTGAACAGAGAATTCTTGCTTAATATCTCTCTATTTAACAAAGGGTTTCCGTTGATCGTGCGCACCTTCTCAGTTCTCTGCACTATCCTTGCAAAAGATCAAATGGTTCTCACTCGCTGAGAAAGAATGCCTCTCAATCTCCTTCATTCAGTGTTCCTTCGTGCATTAGAAGGAAACGCACACGTGCACCAAATATGGTGTTGATTCCAGATGATCTTGTTCCTCCTCTTGTTGATGACTCTACTATTGCTTCTGAAGATCCTATAAGTGAGCAAGGAATGTCAAATGCAAATGTCCCCATGGGAGCTCAAGCCTCTGTAATTGAAGCTGAAGATGGGGTGGCTGATGAAAACCCTACTGGCAATCTGAACCGTTCTTCGACAACTGGGTTAGATGATGAAAATGTCCCGCTATCCTCTCTGCTGAGAAATTGTCGTCCCAGAAAAATGACCAAACGTCGTCACCATCATACCTTACCTGAGGCAAGGTCTGTTTCTCCTCCTTCTCTGGATCCTATTGATGTTGTGAATGATCGGTTCTTTACTGTTAAATCTATGGAGTTCATGAATGATGTTCTGGGCTCCTCGTGATTTCACTCAGGAGGCAAGATTCGATACTGACGAGTTTAAATAACTTGGATTCTCCTCTTACCTCCGTGAAAAGCATCTTTATCATTGGGCTCGATCTTTCTCCTCGTTTTGTCCATCTCTTGTTCGGGAATTTTATGCAAAACTGTAAACCACAAGTGATGATGATTCCTTACCGTGGTTTTAAAAATAAATTTACATTCGGGGGAAGTTATTGGATTTATCTTCCGATGTCATCTCTGTCTTCTTGAAAGTTCCCATTAGCACTCTCGATCATGGTCCCAATCATTATCTGTTTGTACCTCATTCTGTTGTTGGGAAGGTTATCTCTGCTGGAAAGTTTATGGATTTTGGGTGCACGGTTTTTAGCTCGCCTTGCTTACAGTTAAGTATCACTACCTTTATCGTCTGTGCGTCTCCAATATATTACCAACATCTAACTCCTCAAATGTCAACACTCAAATGGGAGTTTTGGTCTACTGCATTGTTTCTTGTTTGGATTCCATAAACTTTAGGAGAGTGGTTCTCGACTGAATGCTGACATTCACTCTTGATAATATTCATGATGGATTCACTCTGCCATACCCGGCTTTGATCACTGGATTGCTTGCTTCAATGGGGATGCATCCATCTGCCGATGAAGCTATTATTTATGTCAAATCTCGTCGCCTTTCGAAGAATATGTCCATCACACACAATGATTTAAAATATGGGCCGGCACTCTTTAGAGAAGAGTTGGTTCTGTTTCTCCAGTCCGAGAATCGTAAGCATGAACAAGAACTCTTACAAATGGAGCAGCGGTGTGCTCAAATTCGTCATTCCATTGGCAAGATGAACAGGATGCTTCGTGGTATCTTGCATAGTGGTGTCAATATTGAGGATGAACATGGTGTTGACGGAGATGATCACTCTGGTTAA